GTTGATAGGAGATTGGAAGGCACAAAAAGAAGAAGAATCTTTGTGCCAACTTTGCAGAACTTAGGCAAGAAATACCCACAGTCTATTTTGATCTTATTTTTGAGGAGAAAGTGTCATTCTCCATCCTTAGATGGGCTGAAAACGTTTTCTGCAAAAACTAGATGCTGATGCACAGGGAGCAGCAAGCAGTTGGACAGTTCAGCTCTTAACCAGTGGTGCTGTGCAAGGAGGAGCTAAGGTGCGTGCTTTCAAGAGGATGCAAAGAGATGCACTCTGAAGCACTAGTCATTAGAATTTCTCTCTCCAAGTGTTGGAGACCAAAGTTTGGATTCCTCTGTCTTAACCTCATGCTCAAGAACAGACTGGAAGAGCTGTATTGTCAAGCAGAACTGTGACCAACATTACAGCATTTGCCTCCCAAAAAAGAAAGCTGGGCGGAAATGCTGTATTAGGTGACAGGTCTTTTCCTGCAGGGGATGGGAGATCGATATTTCATGAATATACAGAGTGAATTACTGCACTTCCCCGAGCAGCGTGACAGCAGGAGGTTTGAGAGAGAGCGTTGGCAGTTCTCGCTGTGGTACCTCTTCCTTTCTGTTTCTTTAGCTGACGTTTTGAGTTTGATGACAAATCGTAGCCGCCAGGAGTCTCCAGGGAGAGGTGATTCATTTGTCCTGTGCACATGTTTAAATCGGCGGTCTGGCAACTGCGCTTGTGATGTGAACGCTGGCCTATCTTGTTTCACCTGGAGCGCTTCCAGTTCAGAAGTGACGTGCCGGTTTCAGGTGTTTAGGTGGTTGTGTCGGGCTGTGTAGGGCAGAATCGGTGTGAGAGAGCATTCACCAATTCAGCTTTTTGTTGGTTGTCGTCAAACTGCTTCTTGAATTATCGTGGCTTCTGGAGGAGATTTTTTTCTTTGTTATTTTCTTTAATGAGAGTAAATTGCTTTCTGAAGATGCTTCATGCCCCATAGCCGTTAAATTTCAGCAAAATTGGCGGGCTTTATTATCTGTTACTATCTCAGAATAGTCAGTGTTTCCTAGCTATTAACTCATCCAGTTCCCTCACTTTCAAAGATCATCTTGTTTGTAGGAATGGAGTAGGTCATTTTTTGGAATTGTCAGCCATCACACTGCAGTGTGAAGGGAAAAATATGCTTAAACATAGACTATCTTGGGTTTGTCCCGTTGTTGCAAGCTAAAGAAACAGAAGGCATCAGTGACGTTATACTCGTCTGTTCTAGTTAACTAGTTTGTGAGGTGCAGAGTATTCTTACTAACTCCCCTAAGGTGACCCTTTTTTTCTGCTCCACCTATTAGCAGTGGCTCCTGGAGTGCAGAATCTGCTTGTTAATAATCAGAGATGGAAAAGGTTGCTTCCTCTGCTCTTGTTTTTCATTGTTCCTGGGCTGGTCATTAGAACAGCATGCAGAAATTCATGGAATTAGACAATTTCCATAAGCTACGTAATTTTGGAGAGACCTTTTAATGCTTCTATTAATGTCATAGCCCAGCAAGAAGCTTTAGACACTTTTCTCCAGTAAGGCATTTGATATATTGTATGCATCATGTTAAAAACATTATGTAAGGAATTGTCATGCTACCCTTGTAGTTTCGTTGTCTCTGTGAGAAAGATCATTTGTGTTACAGATGGTGGAACTGGGAACGGAGGTGGCTTAAATTCAGTTTACACAGTTGGTTTTTTGGGGGGGGAGGGAGAGATCTTTAGATACAAGTGTGGTAAGTTCCTAATAGTCCTTAGGGTGGAGTGTTTTAAACAATATATGTTTTTCTTCTAGTTATTTTCAGAAATGTTGGATGCTGTTTCTTGAGATTGATCCTGCTGATGTTAAAAATGAATCTTTTTTGAGTCCTAAGAACTGGAAAATCAAAGCTGTCTAGCTTTGCGGTTGCCTGTAGATTCAGACATTGCTGCGTAAGTTTGGGAGGCGTGTTTTTTAAAGTCACGAAGGCTAGTAACCTCGCTTATAAACATATTCTAAAATCTCAGCTTAGAGCTATTTTAAAATTCAGATGTGTGCTGCAGTTTTCAGTGTAACCGATTTGTGCATGATGCACCGATTACTGCTTGTTCGCTCTCTGTCCATTGTGTTTGAGGAGGAAATCCTTGTGCAGTGCAGTAATCCCCTCACTTGTGTGCTTTGAGTAAGCCTGTCCTGGGAAAAGGCTTTGCTGTTCTGGCTACGCCAGCAGCAGGACATAACAAGCTCAAACTGCAAGCGAGTTTCTTCTTTATGTGGAGGAGCAGCGATGTTTCCTGCTTCTCTCCAGCGGACATGTGAGCAAGGGTGAGGGTCCGCTGGTGCCTGCAGCCAGCGCTCGTCCGGAAGGCCGCGATTGTTTGCAGGGAGGACGCGGCTCCCGTCGGCGGGGTGGAACGGCAGAGCGCTTTCCTGCGTTGCTCACACATTGGGATTTTCATCTCCCTGCTGTTTCTCCTCCCAGGTCTGAGTGATAAAGGTTGCTGTGGGGCTGGCTTAGTGTTTCCATTTACAGCTGGAGAGTAATTTTAAGCTGTCCAGCTTTTTTTTTTTTCCTTCTAAAACTTCTTTAAAGCTTGTGCTTCCCGGATATAATTCAGTTGTTAGCATCTGAGCAAATACCAGCTTCATGTTGCAAGCACTTGTAGCAGTGAAACCCCTTGACGTGGGAGCTCTGTATCAGCCCCGCTCAAGGCAGGATGAAGTGAATTTGCATGTAGAAAACACCTGCAGACTTGCTAGGAAAGGGTAATCTGCGTTGGAGGGTTGTCTTTTGGGGAGGGCGGCAGTGTTTTGTTTGCTCGGTTTTGATGGAGGATGATGCAACCTCAATAAACAGTGGTTTCAGGAAAAGCTGTACAGCTGCATTTCCAGCTTCAGTGCCCTCTTGGATGGGCAGGACACAATTATTTAGAGCAGGCCTGCTGGCAGACCCTAGCAGAATTCGACCGGCGATCTCCCTCTGACAAAAACTGACGGAGGAGTCCTGCTCTGTGGCTTACCTGGTAGCGCTGGAGAGCAAGGAGGTCGTGTCAGCTGAGTAGCATGCAGAAGCAGTCCGTAGCCAAACAGCCCAGGCTGTCAAAGGAGTGTCTGGGGGACCGGATGGACCAAAAGGATTGACTGACGTTTGTCAGTGATCACAGTTGCTCTCCTTGCCCCTGGAGAGCGAAGGCTGAGCCTTGGGGAGAGGAGCTGGGCTGGAGGGACTGGCAACTGAAGGAGGCAGTGGGGCCAGGCGCCCTGGAGCAGGCATGCCAGCCCTAGGCAGCTGCCCCTAAGCAGTGGGCTGTAGGGTGACACCCCAGTTCTTATTTTGCCCATCTCCTAATTTAAAGTGGTTGAAGATATTTTCCTTTAGTCCTGCTTCACAATACTGTTGTTCTTAGACCTATGTATAGTGGATGGCCCCTAGTTCTGAAGTAGGCTTTCATGATGAAATCCATGGCCTTTTGACCAGTTTGATTGCTCTAATCAGGGTTACACAACGTGCAGAAAAGGGAATGTTCCTCCTGCTTTCTCACAGCAGCTGCCCTCATTTTTCTTCCCCTTGCTCTGGGGCTTTCCTCCATCCGGCTTTCTTTCCTTCCATTCTTAAAGGAACCCCAGCCTGAAGCATACTCGAGTGTAAACCCTGGGTTAGAAGCGAGTTAGAAGTAGCTCCAGATGCTACTTGGGGTCCCTTAAGGTTTGGGGGGGGTTGCTATCCTCACTGCCTTGAGATTCAACCCAAACAGCAGAGACTAAGTAGGCAGGATCGGTGAGATTGGGTAGAAAGTGGGGTGAATGGCACTGACTGAACAAACAGAATTGTCTTTAATAGCTCAGTACTTGTTCGTGTTAGTGTTTTGCTTGCTTACTCTTGCAAGAGTTTCGTGACGGGACTGTGGTATTTAAATTGGTGGGTGTCCTTTTAACAGAGGTAGGGTTAGGGCACCTCCGCTCTTGCTGTGCGCCGAGACAGCTCATAGTGAAATGCTGGCTAGACAGCGCATGTGGGTGAGCAGGCTGCCTTCGCGCCGTCACAGCCCATCTGGCACGAGTCTGTGTGACTGTGGCTATGCGCCGTGTGGTCCCACTACCTGGAGTAATGTCTTTGAACACTGTTCATCAAAGTATTAATAACTTAAAGATGTTTCTTGACATAAGTACTGAACAGCCTTTACAGATTTTCCAGTACCAAGCTCTGATACTGTATTGTATTTTGGCTGATGTTGCGAATTTGGTTCCCATGTCCCAAATGTTCCTTTTGTTTTTTTCAGTTGATGATCTAACTGACTACTGGTAAATTGAAACAGTTGAATTAACAAATATGTAACATAAACAATATCTATGAGTTAAACTTCAAGTATTTAGTATAGATTCAATCCTAGGGTGTCTGACTGAAATGGTAAATTCAATCTGCCCTTTCAAACGGGCCCTGATGAACTGTAAAGCAGCACTGAATTTGAGTAGGGCTAGTTTGATTTTAAAAAAGGGCGCAAATGCACAAATTGCAGTGGGGATTTGAAAAGAATAACATTCAATGCATTCTTCTTTGCCCTTTGCAGAAATTCTCTGAAGTCCAAACTTGTGAGCATTAACTCCTATAGTGATTAAAAATTGCTTGTAGTGCTGAAGGTTCTGTTATATCCAAATTACCGATCATGCCGTATTTAAAATGCAGTTAAAAGCAGCCAAGCTTTGTACCGTGTGATGAAGGTTAAAAAGGAGATCGCATTTCTTTCCATTCCAAAGATCCATCTCACTTCACAAAATGCTATCAGAGATCCTTGGTGCTTGTATTTGTCTTGCTGTGCCTGGCCATGCATCTGTGACTCTTTGGTGACTAAACTTCAAGGCCCTTCTCGTTCTCTCATGTGAGATCAGGAGCTTGAGGCCTCTTCTAAGCCAAAATAAACACAGATGTTTCAAGCTGCAGTTTTGGTGCATATCACGTTATCGTAATCAAGGATAATCCAGAACCACAGCATCAAGTGTATCTCATTTCACGTTACAGAGTCCTCGGCCTTTCGACCATCCAGCCTTCTCCAAGGTGGTGCCTCCTGTCTCCTGAGACGTTGGAAAACCTAGTTTGGAAGAAGAGTAAAGATACAGTTGATGCTGAACTACGTGAGTCCTCAGATTATTTTGTTTACGATAACGCTGTTTGCACCATAGATTCCCATCCAGCTCAGATTGCACAACAGTCATTATCTCAGAGTTTCTGTGCAGTGAGGTTTCTCCAGTGGAAATTTTACTCATATGTTTCCAGCAGGATTTGCAAGGAACGGAGAATTTTATAAAGCACGATCAAGTATTAGGTCAGGGATGCGGAATGAACAGAACAAGTAGCATATGGAGATCAGGATTTTGTTCTGTTTAACTAATTGGGCCTGGTAATACTTTTCAAAGGTCTGAACTGTTGATAGACTGTGGTAGCGTATGGATGTGAAGTCTGCTGTTAAGACCTCTCACCTTACCCCTTTTGCTATTTATGCTGATCTTGGTGACAGATGCTGCTGGATAGACTGATGCAATGAGATCACTGTTGTGTCCGCAGAAAGGGTGGAACTGCTGGAGGGTAAACTTCCCAACTGTATTCAAAGCGTGGTGATTTATCGGTCTCTTACGTTGTGAAACACAGGCTTGAGTTTTTTTTTTTTTTTAATGAAGTACAAAAGACAATATTTTTCAGTCTGTTGTAGGAACATTTTAGGGAAAATTACCAGGGCTTGGTTTTGACTTGCTAAGAGTAAGAAAGTGGATCTATGCTGCTTTTTTTTTTCTTTTTTTTTGAAAACTGAAACATTAGAGCATTTGTGAGTCTTTGAAACTAATTTCCAAGATATAAAGATGAAAAGGAAGTGTATGAGAAACAACTTCACAACTTTTGCTGCTGGAGCTGATTTTGCTTGTGGTAAACATACTGTGTGTGAAGGATAGCTTTTCAGCAAACATAAGAGGTTCTCTTTCCGTTGAAATGAAACAAGAGCTTTCTTTGAGGAAGGGGTGTTTTAGTGACTGAGACTTGAATTTATTTGTCCTTTTAAGTATTGATTCTACAGTAACCTCCTCAAATTCTCTTTAGAATTCTCAGCAGCAGAAGGTTCCTGCGTGTTTGAAATCAATCACTAAGGAGAAATTACTTATGCTTTTAGCTGTTTGTGGTACAGAACGATACAGAATTGTAATGATATCTGTGGTCTTTGAAAGAATATTTTGATGCAAAGCATGAGATGCCCCTCTGATAACGTGTTCTTTGCAAGCAGTAGTTGTACAGGAGAGTCCGCGTACTGATACCATGATGTTTCCTTTCATTAGAATATCCATTAAGAGCAGGTAGTAATCTTTTAAACCTAGAGAAAGCCTCACTTCCCGCACGTGGAAACTGAAGTAGGAAAGTGTGTTATATATTGGACTCCAGTTTCATGCATTCAACTCAATCCAGCAGCGTTGGGTGTAGAGGGATGGAGAAGTGTTTAAAAGGTTGTAGCCTAAAGAGGTGCAAGGGAGGAGAGGGTGTATTCTAAGATTAAAATGTATTTTTGCAAAATCATTGCTAAATTAACTGAATCTCAGAGTAACTAACAAAAAACATTTTTAAATTTTCTATGCCTTCTCCTGTGTGCTTGCTGGAAAAGGTGAAAGATACTGTTCGTATAGGCTTGTGCCTTCTGGGTTATCCAGTGAGCGAGCTGCCTCTAACACCTAGTGTGAAGTCCTCTGTGGATGAACTCCACAAAGTTCCGTAGGCTGAGTCAGGATTAGGTACCTAGAGTAAGGGATAATTCAGGCATTTGCTTTCAGAGTTTTTTGGAATATGTTAATTTGCAAACTTGTTTTTTGCTGTGAAACAAGCTTTAATTATTTTGACTTGTTCCCACCGTGTCTGTCAAACAACTGTTTTAGGAAATGTTGCTTTGAATAGTGAGGCTGATTTTATACCTTCAAAAATGCATTAAGCTTCCAACCCCCCCACCCCACCCCACCCCACCCCAATAGATCTACCAATAAATGAGCCATAGCTTTTTGTGTAGAAACACAAGTAGGCAGAGACACAAATGCATAAGTAAGGGAAAGCTTTCCAGTACAAAGTAAGAGATAGTATAAGGAAATTAATTCAATTGCTCATCAAAATGTGATCTTCTCTCTTTCAAGAGCCAAGGATGAAGCGGCGAGCGTCAGACAGAGGAGCTGGGGAAACATCCACTAAGGCGAAAGCTCTTTGTACAGGGATTTCTGGAAATAATGCCAAGAGAGCAGGCCCTTTTATCCTAGGTAAGCAGGGAAGGTTTTCTTCATCTTTAGTTTTCTAGGTAGAAAGCCACTGATTGCAAAAGTGAAAGTAAAAGAAATAATAAAATGAGACAAAGCAGATGTGTAACTTAGGCTCTTACATCAGAGTGGAATTCATCTGATGTTAACAAAGCAGCATTACTTGGAGCTTCTGTACCTAGGAGGTTTAAAATACCAATTTAGGAAGGCAGACATGGCTTTTAACATAAATGGGAGCCCCTGTTTTTTACTTTTTTTTTTTAAACTACATTTTTAAACTTTGTTTAAAAGCAAGTTAATTCAGGGGACTTGTTAGTTAGAGCTCTAGCGATGTATTCAATCCCAGTTTACTGGAATATACTATAAAATCCCCACGTGGACAAGTTAATAATGCAGTATGGCATTACAAGGGATACCTGGTGAGGCAAGACCACTGTGCTGGCTTTTGAGAATTGCTAGAATAGTTGTTAGGTCGGGACTGGTTATATAAAGCCCTAAAAAAAATATCATGATCTTCACAGGTGGAAAACAAGCAATAGTCAATTAGAAATGGATTGGTTTAAAATTAATTGAAGAGATTGTATGTTAACTTGAAACTTGGACTAATCCGTGTATCTGAGCAGTTCCTGCAGAGGTGACAGTTAGGTTCAGAGGTTTGGTAATAATTCTTTGCCATGGTGGTTGCTAGTAAATGCAAGAGCCATATGGCTTAGGCATTTAGAAATGTGTATTTCTAAAAACAGCTGGACAGAGTGCACTTTTGCTAAATTTCTCTCCAGTGGACAAATGAAATATTGTTGTCCAGAAGGTTTTCAGAATTCAGCATCCTTTTTTGTTTGTTTTCTTTAGATAAACACAAATTATGGAAAGACACTTAATCTCCTGAAAAAAAGGAACTTATTTTAAACTCATGTAAACTGTGTGACGCTTAATTACTGATGAAACGCTGAATTAGTCATTACTGCTTAGAGGAAAACAAGTCTGTTTTTGCTTTGTGCTGTTAGGCCCACGCTTAGGTAACTCCCCTGTGCCAAGTATTGTTCAATGTTTGGCAAGAAAAGATGGGACAGATGACTTCTATCAGCTAAAGGTAAGCGCAATGCAAAGGTACCAAATTTTCAGACCTCTTAACTTTTGCTCTCTTGACTGAACTGCTCGCATTAGGGAGCGGGTACTCTGCACTGGTTCACTCTAGGAATGTCTGCTTAAACGTCCCCTCACAGGGCCGTTCTGCCAGGCATAAATTCGGTGTCAGCGTTACCTCTGAGATGGGGCCTCTGTGGCTGCTGTTCTCGCAGGGTTGTGTGATGGGATCCTGGAGCCTTCTGACCTACTCCACTGTACCTAAAATAGAGGCAGCACCAGCATGAAAAATCACTTGGGATGTTAGCAAAAAGCCACTTAAGGTGCTTTTGCGTGTTAATCAAATTAATGCTGTGTGTTCTGCACAGATGTTAGTTCAGACAGGTTTGTGGTGAGTATATAAACATCAGAGTAATTACATGCAACTGCTAAACACACATGTGAACACTTAAAATGTAATGGAGGTCTGGGGACATCTGAGTTTTCCCAGGAGTTGTAAAGGTCTTTTCCCTTTTCCTGAAGATTCTGACCTTAGAAGAAAGGGGTGATAAAGGAACAGAAACCCAGGAAGAACGACAGGGCAAGATGCTGCTGCACACAGAGTATTCTCTTCTTTCCCTTCTCCACAATCAGGAAGGAGTGGTTCATCATCACGGGCTCTTTCAGGTACGGCTGGCCACCGTGCAGGCTTTGGGAATGTCCATCACTGCTATTAGCATGGGTGCCTTTTGTTTAATGTACAGTTCATGCTGACCTCATTCTTGTGTGCAAAGAATTACCAGCACACAGCTGTGACTAATCACTGCTGCTTCAAAGAAGCAAGTTTGTGGCAGGGGCTTTTGAATGTTAAATGTGATGGAGCAGGGTTGGTGATTGGTGAAAAGTGAGAAGATTCAAAAATGGGACAGGTACTAGATAGCATGCCTATTGATACTCCTTACATTGCTTAATGACAGCTCTTGTGATGCTTGTACCTGAGGCCTTTTAAATGTATGTAGCAGAAGTACTTAGGATGGGTCACTGCCTCACAGAGAGGAAAATGGCTGCTTCACTAGCAAATTAATGTGTGCTAATATAGCACTCTTTTTAGAACTGAACTTCTTTTTTCCGATCTCTGTACTTGATCTGTTTTATGATGATTTGGTAAGAGAGGACAGATTGCCAAGAAGCCGTTTCAGCAAGTTAAAACAAACTTGTAAATGTGCTAATCAACATAAAGTCATCTTGAATGAATGAATTGTAGGGCTGTTAACACCTTCAGAGCTATTTATGGAGTGTGATGGGCTGATAGGAGTTACAATTTGGATGTTGGCGTTTTTTTTGCTTGCTGGTTAAGTTGTGTCAACAGGCTTTTTACCTGAAGCCATCTGTTCTGTATCTTAAATAAAACCAAACTTCCAACTCAGCTGTGTCCTGTTCAATGTCATGAAAGAACACCTAATTCTCTGTCTTGATTAAGATTTCTGTTAATACATTAACAATAATGAGAGTTGGTCCTTAGTACTCACAGATTTCTCTACCACAGTTTGTTTTTTTTTTCTAGGCTTTATCTAAAGATATATATCAATATCAGTATTGACATGTACATATTCATAATAAATCAGTACAGACTTTCTTTGACTTCTTTAAGTGGAGGTCTTGTGTCTTATTTTTGAAATCCCAAGTCAGGGCAAAGGTTAAGCCCTATAGCTGTATTTGCTTATTTTGAGATTACCATATAGTTATTTATTTTCTAATGCTCTGT